CCTTATCGACTATTTGTTCTGGAAATTCTTTCTCTTATCTCTTGTGATGTTTACACTTCCCTAAACTGACATTTTAAATGGTTAGATAAATTATTAATATTTTAAGACAGTTCTCTAAAATGAGGTTAAATTGGGCTCCCAGCATTGGATTTCAAGGCGATCCTAAAAGATTAGACAGTCCCCATTTAAAAAGCTATCTACTATCCATCAAAGCTATCTATCCTGGCCCCAATTGTATATGTTTCGTGCTGAATCTATCATTCAAATCCCCGATCCATACGTACGTTGTTCCATTTCGCGGTAGCAGAAGGACAGCACCTGCAGCGTGGAGTCATCCGTGGGCTTCTCCTCGGCGACGGTCTGGAGGCAGCCGTGGCTCTCGTCGTAGCGTCCCAGCCGGAGGAGCGAGAGGCCCTTGAGGGCACGGGCGCAGAGCAGGGTGGGATGTTTGCGGAGCAGCTTCTCGGACTCCTGCAGGGCCTTGCGGTTGTTGCCCACCTCCAGGTTGTCTGCGGAGGAGGAGGAGGAGGAGTTAGTCCAGTGGCCATTAGAACAACACGGAAAGCACTCACCGTAGACCGGCCGCAGTCGCCGCTCGAACAAGGCCGAGTCCATGCCCTGCTGCTGTGCCATGTTATGATGTTATGTGGTGCTGCTGTATGCTGCTAACCTAATTACAACGTGCTGCATGCACCTCGCACTCGGATTCCGCTCTCTTTTGTGGTTTGCGGCACGCTGTCGTCTTTTGAATTACTTCCTTCAACCTTTTGGGGCTCTCCTTGGGTTGCCCGCGGTGCTTGGGCGATCGGGGGACGGGCGGCTGGCTCTTGGGCACTCGAATCACTCGGTCAAAGGCTAATTAAATGCTTAATTTCATAGAAATTAGTGACTTTAAATTTGATTCAAAATAAAAAAAACCTCAGACTGCATATTTTGGAGAGGAGAGAGCGGTCTCCGGTATTTTCGGAGGTATTTTCTTGGTATTTTTCGAGGGGGAGCATGGCAGCATTAGGGGTGTTCACATCAGTTATAAAAATAAATAAAACATTTTAATGTTTCTTATTTTAGTTCTCTAAAAGTATATGCCCAGTTTGTATAATTCAGTTTTTAAATATTTTTATAATTATAAATTAGGCTTTTAATAGATTTTCAATTTATTTTTTAATGTTGACCTATCATTTGATTTTTTTCTCAATGAATAAGTCTTGAAACACGTAATAAGCCTCGAGTTTCTTTTACTGAAATTTCTGAAAGTTGACGTTGTATAAAACAGCTGATTAATCTCTGACCAAAATTCAACAATTCAGCAGTTTTGGGAATAACCAGACTATGTTTTTAGTATCATAATAAAGCGTATGGAAACATCTTATCAGAACAAAAGTATAAAGCTTTCTAGGGATGCCGGAATTGAAAAATATATTTTATGATCTTTAGGTAAAAACTATTTCGTATTTAAAACTCCCTAAAGTTAAAAAAAAAGTGACATGAGTACCCCTAACGCCTAGCACTATGTCAAACAGCTGACCGCTAGAGATGGACCAAACCCCACTCACGACGCGCAGTTTGCGAACGAACGATGAATGGCAGAAAAGAGTTTATCAATTTATTCGAGTGCTAATTGGATGATTGCACCTTTACAAATGCACGTCGCACCTGACACGCAAATAAAAAGCGTAGCGAAGAGCCCCGACGAATCGCCGTGAGTCACGCACCTGCCACGCACCACGCCAGTCGCCCATCTCTAGCTGCTGCCCCCGAAAGGCGAAAAACACGTAAAGTTTTCGATTAAAATGCAGAGATTAGCCGATTAAGCGGCGCGCGGGCTCGTAACCAGACGTTTTCAAGTATTAAACTACCGATTAAGCAACACCGCCACTTGGTGACATAGTTTAAGTAGCCGCCCGAGCACCGTTATCGCCGCTTTTCTCCGCTTTTCCTGGGCCCATTTGCTGCATGTCCATTTTTGGTGAAGAATTTCTCGCCAATATTCTCGCCCTTGGCCGGACGCAATGAGCGATGAGATTTAACTGGCTGAGCGAGTACGTGGCCAGCATATCAAGCATATCTCCGTGGCGCCAACTGCAGCAGCAGGTGCAGCAGCTCGTCCCCAATCCGCAGGCCATCTACTGCCGTCTCAGGTCCTCATCCGCCGAAGCACTGGAGCACGTACTGATCGCCTGTGCGGTGTACTTGCTAGTATGCCTGGGCCTCTACAAGCTCACCTTCTGGCTCTCGGAGTGCGCAGCAGGAGCACAAAGCCCCCGGGACGAGGACAGCAACAATGCCGGATCCGGCGACCAGGAGGAACTGAATCCCAGTCCGGATGGGAATCCCCCGCCCAGTGGCGGCCTAAAACAGGCCCTTCAATCGGGTCTCCGGCTGCGTAGCGTCCGGCTGCCCAAGACGGCGCACATGGAGCGCGTCCTTCTGATCACCGCCCATCCGGATGACGAGTGCATGTTCTTCGGACCGCTGATCTACTCGCTGACGCAGCGCCAAGGCTGCCAGGTGTACATACTCTGCCTGTCCAACGGTGAGACTCTACCAGCAGTGACATCATCTTATAAGTCACAATAGATATGCAACCATTAGGCGGAATTACACGTTTCGAAATCAGTAGCTTCTCCGTATTTAGCTTTAGTGCTTCCGTATGGGAAGAACCTTCTTTTTGTAGTACCCATCAATTGATTCCCTGCAATTTAATCTCTTAGGGAATATTTGTTTTCGTCCAAAATAATATATTGCAAATGGTAACAGAATATTATATTAGTCATTGAAAAGGTTTCAGCTGTTTTTTTTACCAGAAATTTACACTCGGTTATAGAGATTGTTCAAGTCCATTTCGTAGATTTTGTGATTGAAATTGCTGCATTTCAGTGATTGATGGAAATTGTATTCAGATAGTAGGTATCTAGTAGAAATTTTTGTATTAGGTAAAATTTTTTTTCTAGCTTCAAAATGCAATAAGGTATATTTAATAAATATTACAATAATAAAATATTATTTATTTTGATCCAAAGTTTTAGGTATATTTATTTCGTTATAAAATACATTTTACTATATCCAATAATAATAGTTTTTAGAGACATAGGGTTAGTGAAGTTCCATTGTCTTTTTGAGAGTAAGAAAACATCTATTTATTTTACAAATATAAAGTCTAAAACATGCTTTTATTTATTAGCAAATAATATATTCCTTAACTAGTCATAATCCCATTAAGTCATAATACCATTGTCACAAAAATTAATTTTATTAGATATAAAAATTTAATAGATAGTTCTTTAATAGGTGTTTCTTAATACAATTACTAGGAAGCTCTGTAAAATGTATACTGAATATATATATTGCATGACATTATAGTCATTATAGATGTAATTGAAACGTTCATACTTAATAGCAAATCTCTTAAACAGGTCGTTTATGATGCTTTATAACTATCCCCTGATATAAGTATATCCCAATCAGAATTATTAATCAATTGCATTCCCCAAAACAGGCAACTTCGAGCACAAGGCGAAGGTGAGGCGGCAGGAACTGTGGCGCTCGTGCTCCAAACTGGGCATACCCGAGTCCAACATTGTGCTGATGAACGCCACCAACCTGCCGGACGACCCCTATGTAGACTGGCGCCCGGATGCGGTGGCCAGTTTGATACTCCACACCGTCGAGAGCCTCGACATCCAGGCGATATTCACGTTCGATCGCGATGGCGTCAGCTCGCATCCGAACCATTGTGCCGTGTATTACGCGGCCGCCTCGCTCTGTTTGGCCAACCTTTTGCCCAAAGGTGAGGAGGCGGCGTCTGAGTCACGCGGGCGGCGACGGATGCAAACAATGGGTGCACGTTAATTGGCGTGCCCATCGCTGCAGTTGTCGCTATTAATAGTTTTAGATATTATAGTATACAGCAATTTTTTACGTCTCTTCCCAAATGCAGATTGCAAGTTTTACACCTTGGACTCGATCAATGTGGTCAGAAAATATCTGTCGATCTTGGACCTGCTGTGCACGTGCTTTATGTCAACGCATTGGTATGAAATAGGGTCCAAAATCTAAATACAAACTCAAATTTTAATATTTTATTTAGGTGCATACTGAACTGGAAGGAGGCTGCAATTGTGAGGAGCGCCATGAAGGAGCATCAGTCGCAGATGAGATGGTTTCGTTGGCTGTACATCTACACTTCGCGTTACATGTTCATCAATTCGATGCGGCAGATAAATCTCTCGGATGTGGAACTGGAAATGCAGATACATGACAACTAGCTAAGGAAAAGGGGATACGATTGAACACCAAAAGACAAACTACCTTCACGATCGGATGCTCCGGGTGGCAGAGCGAGTGGTTTTTATTTTAGACTCTGACGATTCTACTAGTATATATATATGTATGTAACTACTGTTGGCCAAACGATCGATAGTAATTGGAAAGCTATAGAGTATATCCAAACCAACCAGGGAACAAAGAACCAGCAAAAGCGGCAGTACCATAGGCAACCGAAACCACAAAACAGTCCATTAATTAGTTCCACACTCACATACAAAATGGCATATCTTTAAATCTTATTAGTTAGCTCTAATTATTATTATTTATACTCAGTCCAAGCAATGTTCCAAAGTGTGCGATGTAGTCAAATGCTTAACAAATTAAAAATGTATGCGTTATTGATAATTGTTGTTAGCTTATGTTTTTCTCATTTTCGTTTTTTGTGTACATTGATTCCCTACTTACCCCCTTAGCATACACACCTTTAGTCAGTCACTTTCGTTCTTGTAAAATTGTAAAATAGTTTGTTGTAAGCAGCGAAGTACAATAATAATTTTATAAAATATATTTACATAAATATATAAATGAATGTATGTATACACATATACCGATGAGCCAGAGAGGATAGATTCTAGAATGCTGTTAAAGAATATTTATTTAAAGTATTTTAATGAGCGCACTTTCAAATTAATTGTTTTATGGGCCCACGCAGAACTTAGTAAAATGCGAAGCGATTTTTGTTGCAATACTTAAAATTTATTTGTTTTATTTTAAATCTAAATTTAAAATCGAAAACACACGAGAATTAACTTCAAGTATAAGGGAATTCATTGAAGTGGTTGTTTTCTTTTCTACACAGCTTTGACTACCATAATTTTCTACGATGCCGATTTGGAATTTCTCCGCAGATTCTCCTCGCTTTCCGCTTCCTCCGCACAGTTAACAATGATCTTCCCCAGCCCAATGTTGGACTCATGCTGGGCCGTTCGGAAGGCCTCCGCCGCCCGGCTCAAAGGATATGTGGCCGTGATGAACTTGTGCATGAGTGCTCGACCAGATCGCATGAGTTGGATGGCAGTGGGATACCTGAGGAGATACAAGATTAACTCTTTAAGCTTCACATTTAACCAGGGACCGTAAAAAAATCAGTTATTCTCTGATTTGTAAAGTAAAACTTAAAGAATAACTGTTATTTTTTTGAGTTTTATAATAAAAGTTGATCAAAAATAAAACTTAAACTTGATTTATGGCGATTCAGTGGGTGCGGTTGGCTTTTTTTTAAAGATTTTTAGTAAGTTATATAAAACACGGTTAGCAAGTTTTTTTTTTCAATTATTTCCTTTTTTCAAGAATGTCAAGGGAATAACTGTTACACATAAAAATCAACAAATAAGTTATTTTTTGAGTTTTATTATAAAAATCAAAGAATAAAAATCATTACGGATTTTTAAACTACAATGGCTAACAAAAATAGTGGTGTATTTAAAAAAATCTTAGGACTCTTCTATGTTCATGATTTTTTTTGTAAGAAAAATGTACAACAGTTATTATCGGTCCCTGATTTCAGTTTAATAGAATTGAATGAATGACATGAATTCCGAAATAATTCAAGCGACAATTTCTTTTGAAGAAGAAAGAGCTATAACTTTTTTTTTAAATCTGCCTGAATTTTATTTACTATTAATTTTATTTAACATTAATTTGTTAAAAATTGTCCACTTTTTGTTCTCAAAAGAAAGCGCAAAAAAACTGGCAAATTCAAAAAATGCAAAAAAATTATTCATTCATTAATTCAATTCCAAATGAATTAGAAAAATATAAAATAACAAAAATAAGTTATTTTCGGTCCCTGCATTTAACTCCCCGATAAACTCACATATTGGCGGACCGAAAGCTGGGCACCAGGCGAATGTTCTTCATCAGGACGTCCAGGGCATTGAAGCTGGCACACTCCGAATCGCACTCGGCCAGCACGCAAACGCCAGAAGGCTGCAGAGCCATCACCGCCAGATTCATGGTCATGGCCGAAATGGAGCAGTTGATCACGCAGTCTGGCCAGTCCTTGAACTTGCTGTAGATGGCCTCGAGGACCTCGCCGAACAGGGCATTGCTGTCGAACTCGATGGCCTGAAAACCAAAGTCGCGGGCAACCACATCCAGTGCGGGAGCCATGCATCCTGCGATGGCCACACGCTTCGCTCCGATGGCCTTGGCGCAAATGCCGGCGGCCACAGCCGTTGGGCAGGATCCCAGGATGAGGACATTGCTGGTGGGTGTGATGTTGCCCTTGAAGCAAGCCTGACATCCCAGCGCCAAGGTTTGGGTCAGCGATCCCTCCTCCATGCTGATGGACGGCGGGAGACGATGACACAGGTCGGCCGGATGCGTTTGGAAGGTGTTCAGAAAGCCATTGTATACCAAACCGGAGCACATGTTGTATTGGCCTCGCTTGCACAAGTCGCAGATGCCGCAGGACAACGCAGACTCTACGACAACACGGTCACCCACGTGCAGATGATGAACACAGCGACCCACTTCCTCCACGAAACCCGTGGCATCGTGGCCCAGGGACATGGCCTCCATGTTGCGACTGCCGTTCTCGAAGACATGGATGTCGGAGTTCGAGATGGCCACCGATCCCGTTCGAATAAGGACATCTGTTTTGAGGGAAGGAATTCATAAGGGGGTTATAACCCGGTTTACCGTTTGCCATCAAATAAACAATGAATAAAATAAGAAAAAAAAATTAAAATTGACTAAACGCCAGAGCATGTAAAAACAAATATTTAATAATATAACTTAAAAATAATATAACTTAAGGCACTCATTTTAGAAAAGGTGATACCAAAATATTTTATTGTTTTCATTTGCCTTTCTACTTTTCAGAAAATAATTTATAATTTTAAGGGAATTTTTCTACATTTTAGGGTTATTTTAGTTCATGGTAACCATTAATGGCACTCATTTTTAGAAAGGGTGATGCCGAAATATTTTATTGTTTTCCTTTGGGTTTGTTTTTCTACTTTTCAGAAAATAATTTCTAATTTTAAGGCAATTTTTCTAGTTTTCAGGGTTATTTTAGTTCATAACCATTTTCTACATTCAAGAAAAACTAGCTTGAAAATCTTTCTTGATTTTAGAAAAATTCTTATTTTTAGAAATAACTTTCGTGTATTTAGAAAAAAGAAATTTTAAGATGTTTTTTAAAATTTAGGTTAAAATTTATTTTGAGTGTAATTTATGAAGCAGTGTTTGTCTGCAGAAGCAGAAAAATTCTCTGCCGAATCTCTGCTTCTCCCAAATAAAAGCTATAATCTAAGGACTGATCAAAAGGAGAAGCTTACCGAAATCCTTGGGACGAGGTCTGGAAGCGGGAACCACCTGCACCTCGTAAGAATTTAAGATACGCAGCTCATATGCCTTATCCTCAAGGAGGCGCCTTTCTTCAGGTTTTGGTGAAGAAGACGATGGGTTACGACAGACCCGTGTGCTCAGCAATCTTCGTTGTGGCTGCAGCTGGACAAGGGTGTTCCGGGCCAAGAGACTGCCTATTCTGTCTTGGAAAGAGAGAGGATTGACCTGGAGAAACTGTTACCCAAAACAAATCTCAAACCTACGCACCATCCTTCTTTTTGTCCTTGCGTTCGCACTTCTTCTTGGGGAACTTGACCTTGGCGCACTTGCCGGTGCAGCTCTTCACCCCACAACCACCGTCGTCGTCGCTGAAGCAATCCTCTCGCAGACCCGTCCGCTCCTTGATGTCCTTGCCACGGCTTTTCGGGTACTTGGGCGCCATCTGGCCGCACTTGCCGCCGCTCTTGCCCTTCTTCTTGGCGTATCCTCGATAGCTGATCCTGCCCCCAAGGCCACCGAAGCGTCGTCGCAGGAGGGTCGAGTTGATTGTAAAGCGGGCAGGAGCAGCTGCCTCGACCGACAGACGACCCTTGCACAGGGAGCACTGGCAAGAGTTGGAGGTCCTCGGAACGGGGACACGATAGTGACGGCGCACCAGAGTGGAGTAGACTTGGAAGCGGGGAGCTTTTGGAAGGGAATCGGATTCCCGGAAGACTTGACTTAAGGCGGTGGACAGGTAGCGTTTGCTTGGATCCGGACGCCTAGAAAAGGTGGAGAACTTGCACTTATCCTTGCCATCCTTGCCGCCCTTCTTGAACTTGGCGCAGGGATCCTTCTTTTTCTTATCGCCCTTTCCGCCCTTGGCACAGGGATCCTTCTTTTTCTTGTCATCCTTCTTGGCACAGGGATCCTTTTTCTTGGCACAGGGATCCTTCTTTTTCTTGTCATCTTTCTTGGCGCAAGGGTCCTTCTTCTTGGCACAGGGATCCTTCTTTTTCTTGTCATCTTTCTTGGCACAAGGATCCTTCTTGGCACAAGGATCCTTCTTCTTGGCACAAGGATCCTTCTTGGCACAAGGATCTTTTTTCTTATCGTCCTTCTTAGCACAGGGATCCTTCTTCTTGGCACAGGGATCTTTCTTCTTATCATCTTTCTTGGCACAGGGATCCTTCTTCTTGGCACATGGGTCCTTTTTCTTATCGTCCTTCTTGGCACAAGGATCTTTCTTCTCGCCCGACTTGAACTTAGCACAAGGATCCTTCTTTTTCTTGTCATCCTTCTTGGCGCAAGGGTCCTTCTTCTTGTCCTTATCACAGCCGCCATCCTTCTTGCCACCATCTTTGCCACCCTTCTTGAACTTGGCACATGGGTCCTTCTTGTCCTTGCCCTTGCCGTCCTTTTTTCCACAAGAACTCTTTCCGCCTCCCTTGGCGGCCTGGGATGTTATCTCCGTGGTCTGAACGGCTTTCTTTTTGGGCGCCTTTTTCTTTTCCGGACGCTCGCAGGGATCGTCCTTGCAGGGATCTGTAATCAATGGACACTTGCCAGGACACTTGCGCTTGGGCTTCACGGGCGGATGCTTGCAGCCGTCCTTGTCCACGGGAACTGGTACCTCCACCTCCTGGAGGCCTGGCAAGGCGGATGCCTCCTCCGCCATCTTCTGCTGGGCCTCCCGCTGATGTCCTATTTGTGTAGCCGCCGACATATGGGACGCATCGATGATCCTGGTCTTGGAGGCCTCCTCATCCTTGGTCAGTTCCAGATCGGCTATGAAGGTTTCCGAAGATTTCGAATTGCCGGCGAAGCCCTTTTCCAAGGCGGTGCTGCAGAGATTGGCAGCCAGCGAAGTGAGATCATCGTTGAAGCCCGGCATCTTATCCTCGGTCAGCTGGGCGGGATTAAGCTTCTGGGTGTCGATTTCCACCACACCCGAGATTAAGGCGTTGAACCGGAGTGGGAGAGTTTGTCCCGCAGTTGCTGCCGCATCCAGTTCCACCTTGGTGTGCATACAGATCATGGGATCCTGCGGAGCCACAGCCTTGGAATCCTTACTTTCGAGCGCACCTTGCAGGCTGGTCATGTCCATTTCGAAGGACATCTCCATGGAGGCAACGGCCATCTCGTTTAGGCGATTGCTCAGATCCTGTGGGACATCCACTCGCACCTCCTCCACAAAGTCACCCTGTTGGTTGGCGAGCTCTTTGAGATTGGCATCCAGTTTGGAGTTCTGAATGGTTTCAGAGGGTAAAGCCATCGCCGACATGGACTTGGTGGTTTTCAGGGAGGAGCCTGGATTTCCCAGAGCATTCTGAAGGCAACTACTGACCGCCACCTGGCGATGCAAGGGAAGATTGGCACCCAGACCCGCATCCACAGCGGTTCCCACGGCATCGACGTCGGAGGAGTAGCTCTCCCAGATCTTCCGATCCTGCGACTGATCCTCCGATTCCACCTCCTGGATGGCTTCATTCAACGCGCCATATTCCTCGACCATGCTGCTCGAGAAGGTCTCGATGTAATTGGCATACAAACGCAACTGGTTGATGGTATCCAGTGTGTCCTTCAGCGCATTGGCATCCATGCCGGCAAGATCCAAGGGCACGATGACTATCTTCAGTTCCTTGCCATCTTTCGTTTCGGGAGTAATCAGCCCGATGGGCAGGATTTTGGGTGAATTACCGGATGAACCCGAGAAGCTGATCCGTTTGCGCAACATATCCACATTATCGCTGATCGAGAAGACATTGTTGCCCTTCTGCGAGTATTTCTGCACACGAGTATTTCGTCCCGATTGAGAGGTCCTTTGGGTTTGGGTTGTAGAGTTCGATCCCGAGGTGGCACTAATGCACAACTGCCTCAAACGGTTGGAGGAGAGCAGGCTGCGCGGTCGGAAGAGCGGAGCGTGGTAGCTAAGGCATCGGGATATCTGCAGGAGATGCGGCCCAAAGCGATTAGACGGGAACTTCCCGAATATTACAGGCATTTTTTTGTTAATTTTGTTTCACTTTTTCAAAAATACATAAGTCAAACACGGAAGAATTTCAATAAAAAAAAAAAGGAAGAAACCGAAATGGTGTATGGAGTGTTAAACGTATTGAAGGGAAATGAAGTACAAACCCTATCAAATGTTAACTTAAAAATAAGGAGCCTACTAATTTCTAAGTTTAATCGAAGAAGACCCACCTTAAAAAAGTTGTTTACTCTACCAAATAATCGCATAATACCAAATTTTTCACTTGTGTAGAAAAAGGTCCGGGAACTAAAATTTAGAAATTTAGAATTTTGTTAAAATTTTTTTGAGGTTTTAAAATTTTATGTGTGTGTGTTAGCTGTGGGCTAGGTCTAGAGAATGACCCAAAAACCAGACGAAATTATTAACTTAAGTCAAAAAGCCTACTGTTTTCTCGAAATTTCATTTCGTTTCGACATGGAAATCCTTGATAAAATAAGTGATACATTTTGATGCAGATATGAACTCATATCATCATCATCATATCTTTCCAGTCCCAGAGAACCGACTTTTTCGGGGCCTCTAAATGCATTTTGAATTTAATTTAGGTACTACAATTGCCCCTACCTTTGTTGCATATTAATTAACAGCCGATTGGACAACTGCCTTCAGCTGGGCTCCGGTCACCCAAGTATTTGTTGGTCATTCAATTGGGTTTAGTTCGATTTTTGCTTTTGCTCGCAGCGGTTTCTATTTCGGTTTCAGTTTCGATTTCTAGCCAAGAGCTAGATCCGTGTATTCCATTGAACATGTTGCGATTGGCCAGTTCCACATATAGTTCCATATGTTTAATTGTACTTTTGAATGTAAGCTTGATTAAAAGGGAACTTGATGATGGCTAAACTAATAGTGGGAATTTTTATTAGAAACATTAGTGACTCATAAAATAGTAAAGGAACTGACATTTTTATATTGGTGTAGGTCAAGTAACAAATTTGGTTGGAAATGAAGGCTAACCATCTTTAAGGTGATATTTATAAAGTGGAAATCGGAATATTTCAATGGGTTTCAATATTTAAATACAGTTAATAAGTTTGGATTTAAAAATAATAAGTTAATGTTGAATTAAGGTGATATTTATAAAGTGGAAATCGGAATATTTCAATTGGTTTCAATATTTAGATCCAGCTAATAAATTTCTATTTAATAAATATCAAGTTAATGTTGAATTAATGATCATACTTGTAGGTAAACCATATTAAATTTTCAGTCTATAACTATCATTCGTGAAATACTGTTTTAATTTTTTTATGAAATTTGCAAATCTATAGTAAGGTTTCGATCATTCTTTTTTTTATTTGGAACGCCACATATCACATCTCCAAAAAGGCATCTTTGATTTGCAGTATTGTCATAACTTATAGAACGATTTCAAGGTCCAGCGACGCGTGTGCGTTGGGATTTGAATATAGAAAGCCTCATTATCGATCGTAATCAATATTCATTAGCGTACGTGAAGCCGGTCATTAAGTGCCAATTAAAGCTACAATTTCTCCCGTATATATCCCTGCAGTTTTTGTGGCTGCTCCTGCTGACGACGACGTCCGCCAAGCCAACCGAATCCAGTGATTCCATTACCAAGAATGAAATGCAACATGTGACCAGCTTTGTGAACCAGAAACCCAAATCTGGAGTCCGAGAGGAGTTTGATTTCGAGCAGAATGAGGCTGAAGCGACCAACTCGGCGCATTTGCAGCAGCTCTTCGGCAGTTTGTTGCAGTTGCCCGGCAAGGGAAATATGAGTTTGGAGTTATCCCTGGAGACGGATGACGATCCAGTCAGTGAACGCAACAAGCTGGATGATGAGATGGAGGCCATTGGCGAGCAGCACGAGGGCTTCACCGAGTCATCCGATGAATGGCATCGCATTAAGTTGGCTATTCCTGTTTTGGAGCCGGTGAAGCACCTAATAAATGCAGTGGGAGGCGGTGGTGTTAATGATTCCCATGTCAAGAGCAATACCCACCGGCTGATTGGACACCATGGCGTCCACGAATCGCATCATGCTGCCAGCAACATCAGCTCTCCGGCCATCGAAACGGAGGAGGATCGGGAGACGGCCATCGACAGCACCAGCTTCGATCTGCTGGAGACATTGGGCACTGCCGGTACAGTGCTCATTGGCATCTTGACGAATCTACGGAAGCTCTTTGCCGCCAGCGCCGGAAATGCCAGCTCAGCTTCCTCCGGCGGCGGCGGTGGAGGAGGAAACTAGTTGGCTTCTTGCGAAGCTTGTGTTCTGTGATTAATATTAGCCCTATGTAAATTGGATTTCCCTCACTTTTTACTTTTACTAATTTAGGGGAGGTTGGGTCCTGCAAAAAAAAAAGACGATTTAAAAAAAAAAAATTTTTTTCTTGTAGATTAACATTCTAAGATTATACAAAAAAAGTTTTAAGTCAATCGAACAAATACTTCTGAAGTTTTGCTAAAACTAGTACCCTCGCCTCTTAAACTTTAGGTACATAAGTGCATCTTTAAGTGCGTTTTTCTGGAAACCACGTTTTGAATATCCGTGTTCATCGGCATTTCTAAACGGCTCAACCGATAGTTTTCAAATTTGTCGCATATTTTCCTGCATAAAAAAACCCGCCCCCTAGGAATGGTTTTTTTTATTTTTTAACTTTAAATATTTTTTTAAGCCGAAAATCAAATTTTTTTGGTGAAAAACGCATTTTTAGCTTTATAATATCGAAAAAAAATTTTCAAAAATAATAAAATAAAAAAAGGGCTTTCCCAGGGGCGGGTTTTTTTTTTAGTTCTTAAGCGAAATGTAAAAACAAAATGGAAATCCGATCACTTTTAACGGAGGTACAGTGAACACCGCAAAACGCCTTTTTTAATAGTGTTCCAGCAATCGCTATGCCACTGATATAATAGCCGATAGTATCGGCTATAAAAATTAGTGGATGATATTTAAATGACACTTAATAATATACAAAAGGTTTAAATTAAATCCATCCAACCACTTTTTATAGAATAAATCGCAAAATTAGTCGATTTTTTGGTGCTAAAGACCCTACACCCCCCTTTAAATAAACGAAATATGATGAAAATGTCGAAATAATTTTCGGTTTTATGTTTGAGTTTGGGTGAATAGGAAATAAAAAGCTTATGCATACATTTATGCAGGACATTTGCAGGACTTCTTAAGTAGAGACTTCGAGTTGGACTGTATAAAACTCTAGTTAGCTAAGCAATCTTTTGAAGGAGCCTACATAAACTCGTAGCTGCCGTCGTCAAAGTTGCGATTGCCGACCATCGGGCCGCCAGCTCCCATTTGGTTGGGATTCTGGCCGCCCATCTGCGGACGGAACTGGTTGCCCGGCGTGGTCTGGTGCTGCAGCAGCTGGCGAAGTCCCGGATTGTTGTTGCTCATCATGGGACGCACCATGCGCTGCTGCTGTTGCGCCTGCTGTTGCTGCTGTATGGCGGCCACATTGGGCGCCACCTGTTGCAACTGCTGCTGCAGATTGGGAACGCCACCGGGTCCAACGCCCACGCCCACGCCCAGTGGCATCCGCTGCTGCTGCTGCATCATGTTCATCTGCATCTGATTCTGCTGCATGCCGGGCATTCCGCCTGGACCAGGACCAGGTCCTCCGCCTGGACCTCCTCCGCCGCCCATCTGCATGTTCAGCTGGTACTGATTGTAGTGCTGCTGCTGCTGTGAGTTGTCCTGCTGCATCTGCTGCTGCTGTTGTTGCTGCTGCAGCTCCATGGGCGACTTGCCCTGCTGCTGCATCATTTGCTGCTGCTGCTGTTGCTGCTGCTGCTGCATGTTGCCGTGCTGCTTCTGCTGGATGACCTTCCGCAGACGCTCCACAAACATGGCCTGATTATTAGGAATAAAGCCCAGGAAGGCATTGCGATCGGGCGTGTAGAGCAGAATGAGTACCTTGAGATCGCAGGCGGGTGAGTTGGGAATGGAGGAGAAGTGGACGCAGCCAGCGTAGCCGGAGGTCATCATCTTGGCCAGCGAATCGAGTGCTTCTCCGGGAGTGGGTCGAAAAACGACCATCTTTGAGTCCTTTAGGAACTGACCGCCAATGTTGCCGACCAAATGCTTCGGCATTAGCTGCATCAACAGCTTGGGCGGCCAGTTCTCAGCCTTGATCTCCGGTTCGCCGTCTTTGATGTTGGTGCACACGGTGCACTGCAGTGTGTGTGGAATCTTCTGCTGATCCGATTTCGGCTTCTCTGACCACTCCAGCACTCCGGTCCAGATCTTTTCCCTCAGGGAGGCCTGCTCCTGCTGCGAGTTTGCCTGCTGCTGTTGCTGCTGCTGCGGATTTCCCTGCTGTTGCGGATTGGCCACCTGTCCCACTTGCTGCTGCTGTTGCTGCGGATTGCCAGCCGGCATCATGTTGTTGCCCGCATTGGGATTGCCCTGTTGCTGCTGCTGTCCCTGCTGCTGCTGCTGCTGTTGGGCGAGTTGCTGCTGCTGTTGTTGCAACTGTTGGTGGTTCAGCATCTGCTGCTGGTTGATCATCTGCATTCTCTGTTGCTGCTGCTGCGCCTGTTGCTGCTGTGCCTGCTGTTGTTGCTGCTGCTGCAGCGAGGTAACCGTTTGGTTCGGCGGCGGCGCATTAATGCGCGAGATTAGCGCCGAATTGGGATTCTGTTGCATGCCTTGGCCTTGGCCAACACCGCCCACATTGCCTGCTCCCTGCATAAAAGGCGGACGCGCCTGTCCCGGCTGATTGGGATACATCCAGCGGTTTTGTCCGGGTCCCACGTTCTGCTGGAAGTTCGGATTCTGCATCTGGTTGGGCACAAATTGATTCTGCTGCTGCTGCTGTTGTTGCTGCTGTTGCTGTTGCAGTAGCTGCTGTTGTTGCTGCGGATTGAGCAGGCCCGCCTGGGGATTTGGACCAGGCTGCTGCTGTTGCTGCATGGAATTCATGTTCATGACTTGCTGCTGGGGATTGCCCTGTTGCTGCTGCTGCTGTTGAGCTGGTGTGGTGTCCATTGGCATGCCCTGAACTGGCTGCTGCTGACCAGCGGGATTCTGTTGTTGCTGCTGCTGCACTGCAGCTTGTGCAGTATTTGGAGCAGCCATCTGCGCCGCCATGCTATTCGGACTGGGAGCTCGCTCCTTGAGACTGTAGCCCTTGAGCAGCACCAAATGCCGGATGTTCTTGGCATAGTTCTTGCTCGTTATCGGCTGATCGCCGTCGGCCTTCATGAAGAGCTTGAACAGCACCGGCATCTTGCGCGGCGCAATGATGGAGAGATTGATTTTTCGCTCGTTAAAGAGAGCCGCCAACTGCTCGCAGGATTTGCCCGGATACTTCCAGGACTCCGTGGTGGGCATCTGGTACGGCGGACTGTTGCAGATGAGGATGCAGTGCCGCTGGACGCTGGTCTGGTCGAGCAGCTGGCGCCGCTCGCTGATGTCGTCGAAGCAGCCGTGGGCCGCCGCAAATCCCTCGGCCATGTGGGCGCAGGACTCCATGCCGCCTCCAACCAAAGGCAACCTTTCGATCGTCTCCATTACTTTCTGGGGCTGCAGGAAGGGTCCGTAGGTGGCGCACACGGGTTCCAGCAGATTGGCCGCCGTGCGGTAGACCACAATGCCGTAGAGCGTGGCAAATCGCTCTGCAATCAGGTATTCCCGCTCGTCAATCGAGCCAGTGGTAAAGTGCTCCAGTGTCGGCAGGATGTAGTTGGTTTTCAACTCATTGATGTACGCCCCATTGATGGCGCTGCCCTCGATGATGAAGACCACGTCGGCCAGGGGCATCTGATCCACCTCCATGGTTAATACGGAAGGGGGAAATTGGCTTTAAATGGGGAAAACCTTTTGGAAAAATTCCAAACTTTTTCGCTGTAACCCGCTCTTCTTCTTCTCTGTCAGTTTGTTATGACTATCGGTAAGGGACTATCGATATGTCGATTTGTAACCATCGAATGGCGGTTAATAGGGCTGTCACTTGCTACAAAATTAAAAAAACTTTTAATTGGACTTCCCGACCAACGTAAAAAATGATTCTTTTCTGGATAATTAAAAATATTATCAAAAAATAATTAAAAATTTTGCAACTACGGTATATGATATGATTTTTTTTGAGATAATTGCATTATTTTTCTACTAACTGAAAAAGCTTCTAAATCTTTTTTAACTAAGACCATTTAAAAAACCTGTGGATTTTTTCTAACAGTTTAGAATGCATGAGAAATAAATTTTTTTTAAGGTTTAAATATAGGGAAGTACAGCTATTTCCCAAATAGAAGGTCAATTGGCCCAATATCTTTGGGTGGTAAAAAAAATTTGTTTAAAATATTAAAATTCGGCACACCACAATCAATTAAATCTATTTTCATTCTTAATTTTTTATTAGTTTTAAAAAGCGCGTATTTTTATATCGATAGTTTCAAGGGCTGCCAGATACAAGCAGCGAAGCACCTGCAGCTGTCTGGCAGCCCGATCAGCTGCTGCTGCTGCCCAACTTGCGCAGTTCCGTTTTGTTCAGTGATTCGCTCGCCGGATTTCGAAGAAGAAGGACGTTGCCTTAAACTCCGCGTTGTTTTTCCCCGAAAATTCGTCTAAAACTCACGCAAATCGCAATAAAAGTGGTAAATTCGCAAACAATTACCAGTGAACAGTGCAAGTGCATGGAAAACGATCCCAAAGATAGTAAAAAATAGACGCAAGTGCGAATTGCGGGCTTTTTTGTGTGGCCGTCGCAGAATGTGTGGCACAAAGCGGAAAGCGCGCTAAGTGAGCGTGCGAGCGCCCAAATCGCAGAGAAATGTAAATAAATAAACGTGTAAAGCCGCGACAATTGTGAAAAGTCAACAAACGCGCCAGTTGGCCAGTGAAAAGTGAGTGAAATCTGGTTTAAATTGCTCAAATTGGCAAATTCGCATTTGGCCAGCAGAACAGCTGTTGTTTTGCCTCTCGCTCTGTCTGGCTGTGCTGTGTCCCTTTCTCTCTTGCCTTCTCTCTGTTTTTGTTGCTCCTCTTTGTTCGTGTTCTTTTTACTGCAATGTTGCTAAATCGTTTGATTCTATTATTATAATTATTCTCTTTGCACTGACGTCACTGCGACGGAGAAACTGATAATTTGGTTTAGCAATTAGCAAGATTTAAGTATAGTTTGGAGCACAGCGAAGTGAATTAAACGACCATGTGTCCGCCGTTTGTTATTGTTGCCTGGCAACATGTTTCGCCACATCTGCTTTTTTGTTCCCCTCCAGTAGTTGTTCCCATTTGTTTACAACAATTGCAATCTAGCCAATAGCAAAGATCGCGAATTTAAAGCGCCTACATAAAAAAACAGCAGCCGCAGCGGTTTGGGCGTCACTCTGACTGCCGATCGCCGGTCGGTTGGGTGTTTCTACATTTAAATACACTTCCGGGAGAGGTTGGTGGCACAACTTTTAGAAAGCAGGTGTTAAACCCTCAATGTATTTATACCCACGCGGGAAATACCTATATCATATGTATATCATATAGTATGGGCCCTATTCCTATAGAATTATGGTCATAAAATGATTTTTGCACCTATCAAATTCTGATAATTTCATAGTATTGATAGTATTTTATATTAAGCTCTGTTATATGATCTTACATTTCAATATGATATATCTAATGGTATTTTTTAGTCATCCAAGGATGAAATCCACTCGAGAATTCTGAGTATTAGCTGATATAAATATGATCTATTTTAATAAAAGACTTGTGATATTTTAGGCTTTGTAAACCTTTACTTTGTGTACTGATTTTGTCTATAATTATGTTATTGCCAAAGTAACATTTCAATACATTTCCTCATCAAATTTCCTAGAAAGTCTTTTTCAAAAGCTATGTAATACCGAGATCGTAAAAAAATATTGTAGAATGTAGGTATTAGAAAATATATCTAACCCCGATAAAGCGATTCATAATAAACAAACAAACTGATATCTAGAGAACCATAAAATAAAGGGTGTTCACTATATGTTTGCTGTGTCCATATTGAAAGTAATAAATAAAAGGTATTTGCTATCGTATTGTTACCACTATTATTCTGATTTTAACGTACCATTTTTATTTCCTAAAAAAACGTGATTTGAGAAAACTATTATTAATTATAGCACAATTATTATCCCAATATGTTGTAGGGTATATTAAATGCATTGTTCTTTGGCTACCAGTTTTTCTTGTATATTTTACTATTTCTGGATCTTTTTTTGATTTATGTATTTAATCTTTTAGCCATATATTTTGCAGTTCGCATTTGTTTGTGCTGGTTATTTCAAGATTTCCCACACAAATAAAGATACTTTTTTATTGCTCCAACGCAAAATTCACGCCTTTCCTTAAATATTTACTTGTGGATTTGCCAATTAAAATAGATTCAGATTGCAAGAAATAAACAAATTTAAACTGCGTTTTAATTGTGAGCTTGTTATCAGTCAGTCCTATAATTAAAGTCTGTTGAATTATTTGTGTTTGATGTGAAAAGCTTTCACTTACCGAGTAAGTGGCTAGATAAGAGATAGACAAAACCCCCTTATCTGGCCGGTCAAGTGGTAACTAACCGGAATTAAGTGCTCCCAAAAAGTAATGCTTATTTAACAATTTTTCCCTCTACTTCACTTGCAGCTACTGGAAAACCAGAGACAAGGAAACCACCCATACGATGGTCGAAGGTGTTCCCATTTTCAGAATTCTTATCGGGCAACGACTGGAGTATGATTGAGTTGGCCTCGCCACCGATTCGCGTCTGGTTCTGGCTGCGGTACGGTAATACCAACACCCGGGTGGACCTGTGATGTTCTAGTGCGATCCCCACAATTCGCAGTTCGCTGGAGGACGGGGGAATGGAACATGCCCGTGGATATGCATAAGAACGTATCAGTTCAAGTCGATAGTGATTTTGCCTTATTGCTACCCAGTGGAGTTTATGAAATCAAGAAAATGGAACCGCGCTCCAAAATACGAACAATCATTGTATTTTGTCTCTTTCTGGCCATCGCCGGTATCATCGGATTCGGTTACTTTTGTCAAGATCAGGTAAGCCCCAAAGCCCCTAATTAATTCTCATTGCGTTAACCATAAATTACTTTTACCATGTTGAGTTTGTTGTGTTTTTTTTCTGCCCCTTGGCGCCAATGCAAATTAGCACACCCATTGGCAAAAAATTCGGAATTTCATAATTTATATTTGCCGTTTTGTGTTTTTATTGAAATTACCAGTCATTCTTTTTTTTTTGAGGGGGGACCAAACTTGTTTTTCTACGGCCCATCAATAAATTTATTAGCTCGTGGTTCGCATATATTCATATCAAAATATGCTTCGGAATTTGTTTCCCAGCGGATTACAGACAGCTCTCATAATATATAGAAAATCCTACCGACTGTTTATCTATTTTTGTGAGCTTTAATTAGACAAAACAAAATGTTTTGTTTACAGCCTTTCGGTTGGCGCCTTCGAAACTGGGAAATTGTTTACGCAAAGGTGCTAGAGAAATTCGCCCTGAATGAGATGTTCGTTCACTGTTGGGAAATCTGTAATATTATAAAGTTTAGTACTGAAGGATTGTGTAGACTTTTGATTTCACTTTTGAAAGAATCATTCATAAATCTTTGACACGCTCGCCCTTTAATTAAATTTGTCTAATCTTAAACATACAATTTTATGGGAAACTATTTTTGATTGGTATTTTTAGGTCACTGTTCATAATCAGTAGAGACCATAAATCTTTTACCAATGCGCTTGATTGAAATTTGTCTAATCTGTGGGACTAATATGGCTTCCTCCCCTCTCTTATTTAATGAATGATTTAATGGTCGAGGTGTAAAGTGCATTCGTGGGCCATAATAACAGAACCGAGGCAAAACAGCGCATAAAATTCCACCCTGGGGACACATAAAGCCAGACCAGACAGTATTAACTCAACTTTGCTATCTAGCGGTGTGCATATAGCTTCAGATATGTAGATTTAACAATTAATCCCGCTCGTGCCAGTCATCTCTAATATTAGCCTCGATAAATTCGTTAAAGGAGGCCATAAATTTCCAAATTGCAGCCGGAAAAATTCGATATATGTCTGTATTTGATGAGTTCTATGTATAAACTATATATGTAGCTGCTGAAATATGTTTCAATTTCAATTTTGGCGATCTTTAATTAAACAAGAAACAAATTCGTTCCTTCTCCAAAAACAAAAAACCAAGTGGGTGTGACTTTTAAATGAGTTCAATGTCGAATGACTCTGCTTATGATATAGATATATTTTTGAATGTTTATTCAGTATGTTTGTATAAAATATTTTCCAAATTGAAATAGCCTGCAATATGACATTAATTGAGCGCAGCTGCCTCGCCTTCTTTTTTTTTTGTTCCGCACGCGATCTTGGCAGACATAGTGACTAGTAGGGCGTGGCCACGCCCCATTTGCCGATGCTATGTTCGTGCGTTGGAAAATTCGCCTTCTTTTAAAAATAGCTTAATTAGTTGTACGCGCCATAACAGAAAAACATGCTTAAATGAATAGTGTGGCGAAAGCCAAACATGAAAATGAGTCTGATGCGTTGCGTGTCCAATGGAAAACAGACAGATTATTCTATTATTTCGGATGCGAGGGCGGCCCATTTTTGGGGGGATACTCAGATTTGTATTCTTCTTAATGGGCCAAGTTGAGCATAAATTACTCGGACTCGGTGGGAGTATTTTATTCCCGGAACACTTGAACTCTCTGGGCACTTAGTTTGATTAATTACAAGCGATTTTTAATTGTCCTGCCTTGGGAAATTTTTTGTCTCCTTTCGGATCATTAAGTCAGTTACTACTGTAACTTGGGTCTCTTTTTAAGGCTCTTTAGGGCTCGTAAATTTGTATTATCTCAAAGTGGTTTATTATTTTTGATTTATGAACTATAAATGTCTGAAAAATAATCTATTATTGAGAAATTTAATTTTTATGTACATATTTTAATGTTATTAAAATATTAAATGTTTTTAAATTCTATGATTTGTGATTATGTGTGTGCAATTAGAATTTCATATAAGTAGTCTCCTTAATAGTTCCCCTATATCTTCAAGTATTAAGGCTCTTTCCTAATCTCCTTTTTATACATCACAACTTTAAATCCCAGCTCGTAATTCAATAGCCTATGGCTTAAATAAAAATGCTAATAAATGTGTAAACTTTATCAACCACCGATATTTACAATTCCCTTGCCTTTCCTAAGGTAGCCACAAATGTGTAAGCCCTATCAGCCACTTTAACATAAACAAAATCGTTGACTTTTACTCTGAATATTCAATGCTTCGGCTTTTCGTGGCTGCCAGCAGCAGCTCTGGTTTTAATGCTGTATTTTTTTCTAATTTGGCTTTATTTATTTCAATTTATGCAAATTTTAAATCACTGAATATTTATTCGGTCTTGATAAAAAGCCATTAATTAAATGCCGCTGTTCGAGTGGCTCGATCTCGAGTTGTTTGAGTATGTTTGAGTTGTAAATAAATTGTGGTTGGAGGATTGGTGATTTTGTGATTGTTGTAACGTCCGGATCCGTAATTGTTTACGCAATATTCGAAATAGGGTCCAAAGTACAATTACAGGTGTGTGTTTTTGTTTATATAGCATAGTGTATTCTTCTTCGCCTCTTTGGTTTACCTGATTGAATAAACAAAATCAATGTTTATTATTTCGGTACGCTTGCATATATTCGCTTTCATATTTGTTGCAGTGCTGCTTGTTCGAATTTCGGAACAATTCACAAAGCGCAGCTAATGAAATGAAAACTATTTATCACTTTTTCGGTGTTGTCTGGCCAATTGTTTTCCCAAATTTATACTCGTGCCCGCAATCCACAATGAAAATGTTTTGTTTTTGGTTTTTATGGCGCCTTTTCCACATATCTACATAGTACGTTTGTGTTTTGTTCAACTTTTTTTTGTGGGCTTGGCTTTGGTTTATTTACCAAATTACAGGGGGAATGAACGAACAGTATATGAAATTCCTATATTTATAACAGTTTTTATGTCTCTATTAAAACTGCAAAACACTTGTCGTTACCGGCTAGATCGTGCCAAACTTTGGCTTCAGCTTTCGGGCCATAAAAAGTTTACTCCATGAATACATTTTTTGGGTTTTTGTTTATGCGTTTTATTAGCCAAGATTTGTTTGCTGCTGCCTGCATTTTATTGTCGTCTTTTTACGGCAGTGTTAATCAATTTAATTGAGTGTGGGATTTATGGATTCGAACAGAGTTTTATGGGGAATTTCGTAAAACATTTTATCAGATTTGTCACAAGATATCACAACATCTACAAGGTACTCAAAATCTTTCCGGGGAAATAGAGGCCCTGCTGTGTCTTAAATGTCTCAATTACCTTTAACTCTTCGCTTTTGATCGTGTAAACGATTTATTATGTGATTTAATACTGCCGTCTAAGAAATTTATTATTTTGATCTCTGTGTGTGGGTTTTCTTAATAATTTTCAGTGTTCTTTTGTGTCAAATGCCCATAAACCCCTCGGAGAATTCCCTTAATTGTTTGTGGCTGCACGATCAAGATAAGTTTCAGAGCTGCCTTAACTATTTGAGGAACTTTGGCATAATCAATTAGCATTAATATGCCTGCCATGTGACGTCTTCATTACACTCGAGTCAAAGACCAGTAGCTAATGGAGAACAAAACACAAAAAAACAAGAAAAAAGCATAAAAGCAGCCAAGAAATAAGAGGAAGGCAAACAAAAACCGCAAAACACATAAAGTCCAGACCAATTAAACTATCAGCCATCTGAAATATGTGCCGAAAGGAAGGGGAATAAAGAAATTCAAGCACCGCACATGCCGCAAAAAATCAAGAGCCGCTCATAACTCAAACCGCACATGTCATAAAGCTTGTCGAAGGGTAGGGGTACGGCAAATCCCGGGGGAAGTGTGTCAGGCGGCACTTTAATGTGGCCCCACTGCTTTTTTGGGGGCAAAATGAATTTCCAGATTCCCGAAAAACAAAAGACAAAAGATCAGCAGGGCATTATTCACGCCTGTTTGAAGTTAATTCGTGCGCAAAAGATCAAAAAAATGGTCAGCTTGCAAATCAGATGCTCAGATATCGCTTCTCTTTCCACCCAAAATAAGAAAAAGAAAAGACCTCTAAGGATGCAACGTCTCGAGTATCGAAACCCCTGGACAAATTAGCCAACAACAAAGGCCCAAAATAAAACCCGTTGACTGGTTTAGCTTTTCTTTGTGATAAAAGTTTTTTGATAGCCCCAGCTTGCTGTGTCGTTCCTCCTCTTATTCTCTGCCGTGAAACAGGTTTTATTTCTGTCTCGGCAACTTATAATTTGGTGTACGTGCTTGGGTTAGGTGCTTATAAGGAATACTTGGTTTTGGGAATTTCTTTTGAAAGAAATCTAAAAAAATGTAAATAAAAAAATTATTTCTTAAAGAAACCCAAAATATACTTTACAATTCTGATTGATAAAAATGCTGTTTTTTTCCAAATATATTTCTTTCCTTAGAACATTATAAAGTAAAGGTTCTAAAAACTTTAAAGAGCATTAGGTAGTCTTCATATAAGCATATTCTCTTGCACCTTTTATTGAGACTCTAAAGCAAGGTCTGATGTTTTGAAAGCGCTGTAAACTGATAGCCGTTTATGATCTTAAATGGCAATGCAGGTAGATATCAAACCGCCTATGTATAAGGTTTTAAGAGCCTTAAGGGCAGTTCATGAAAGCGGATCAAACGTTTGCATTCGGCATCATATTTATAATTATTTGTAATGATTCATTATGCAAAATCCGAGGTCTAGTAATGAACCATTTTAAATTTCCTACATTCCATTCGTGATGTCTGCAATCAAAAATAAATCCAAATTTATGATGCCCTAAACTGTGTTCATTGATTTTGTTCGAATGGAATCGCAACACCATATATTTTTGCCGAATTTGTTTCATCCGTGGTGGCAACAGATGTGCTCGGCGAGAAGAATTTTACAAAATTTCCATTCGTCTGCGTTTTTCCACTCTTGGCGTTTCGAAATCCATTTAGAA